TTAAGTGGATCCATAGACCATCAAGAACAAGTTGGTATGAAACCATAAAAACTACACCTGAAACATTAAGCCGTAGTCATGTGTTAATTAACCTGACAAAAAAATCACATGTTAATTACAGCATGCCGAAGTTCAAGCTCATCATTTGTATTCTGCCTAATTTTAATTTCACTTCACTTTTTCACATATCTTAATTAATTAAATCTTAGTGGAGTGTTTTTATGCCTACTTTTCACATAAAATACATGCATCAAATTCTGAGGTGAATGAATAGCTTCATTTGGTATATCGTATTTTTATTATGAACTTTTTTTTTTTTACTTCAAAAGAGATCATCATTCAAGATATCTCGCTCAAATGTGTTGCTCCCTCCAATCTTTTCTTTTTGATATAACTATGTGATCAGATTTGATTCAAATATTGTTGGCCCCAATTAAGGGTAGCTTGTCAAAAGACACTTTTTATGTACATATGAATTCGAACTTGAAACCTCATGGCGACCAAAGCCCCTTCCATCAGGACCATCACTCTATGTCGGTACTCCCTCCAATCTTAAATGTAGGAGCTATAGTTGAGAGGATTATTTTGGTCTTTAATGTAATAGTTCAATTTACTTTATCTCCCAAATTTAAAATTTTTTCCCCAGACTACCCATAGTAAATGGGCATTTTCATTATTATGGGCAGTTTCCAATGCAAATGATCAAATGAGATATTTTTTAGGGAAATCAACAACAAAAATTACAAACAAATAATTAACTTAAATTATATTTTTAATCTCTATAAATTATCCTGCTCCTATAATTAGAACCGGAAGGAGTAATTTATTATAATAGCTGACCAGCTCCCCAAAATGTATTTCATACAACTAAAGGAAATCAATAAGGTTGGCCGGGTGTTGTGGTAATTAACAGCATAGAATTCAATATAATCCACTTAATGTTGCCACAGAAAAATCATAAAATTCATACATTTAAAAAAGAACTCAGAGAAAATAAATAATTTATTTTGTATTTTTTAAATGATATAGGTTTTTGTTTTTTATTTTAAAATAAATATAAATATATTTTCAATTTCTCTGAAATTATATATTAGTATATCTTGTATTTCTAAAATACATGACCATCTCTATTTGATACAAAGGGTAAATTAATAAATCTGGGTTGAGTTTTGTTGAAATTATACGACCTCTTATATTCATCAAAAATCCAAAAAATTCTTCTGAAATAAAAAAAACGTGATTTTAACCAGCAAGCAGCAAAACTCAAATAAAAAAAAATTCAAATGTCTCATCATCAGCTACTAATAGAAGACGCAAATCGATTCACCAAAAAAGAAAAAAAAAAGAAAAAAAAACAGAGAGAGAGAGGGAAAGAGAGAGAGAGAAGAAGAAGAAGAAGAAGAAGAAGAAGACATATAAGGAAAAGTTAGTCAAATTAATAACACGGTGATGATCACGATGTCTCCTCTCTGTTTCCTGAACAAGCAATTAATCAAACGTCGTTTAAGGAAAAAAAGGATTAATTTCACACAATAAATCATACTTTGAAAGCATGTTTTGTGTTTTTGTGTTTTGTGTTGTGTCTCTACCAAATCCACCACTTTGTCTTCTCGAACATATCTCGTGGCCCATTCTTCAACGTGCTGCAAATGTGATATTCCACAATCCATTCGGTTAAATGAAAGGAAATTAATGAATATGATTTGTACTTATCTTTAGAATGTAAATTTCAATTTTATTAATTAATGACATTTGTTTACCTAGGGATGCTTGGTTCAGCTGGTCGAAATGAAATAACTTATCCTGTAACAGTCCCACAGTAATAGTTCAGATTAGTCTAGGCTGTTGATAGTAATGTCCCCAAGTTTCTCACCATACCAGATAATGGAGTGATAATGATGATGATGATTTTTTTTTTTTCAGAACAAAAACTATAAATATGTTAATTTAGTCTATCTAATTTTATTCAATTTTTAACTAGGCCTTATATGTCGTTAAATTTTTTGTTCATTTTCTCACGTTTATATTCTTTTTCCTAAATACCAACATTTCCCTCTCCTTTCATTACAGTTCTTCTCTTTCTATATCTTTTTTCATGACATTTTTTTACCTAGAGATAAACTAAGAAAATGTATATGTCATGACAAAAAATTTTCTATAATTAATCAAGTAGGGATGCAACTATAAAATCACCTTTTTCTTCCAGATCAATTCATTGTCCCTGGGAAATTAAACACACATATGTACATATATATTCTATAACATTTCTGTTTTTGTGAAAGTGTGCCACAATTGCTGGCCCAAAAAATAAAACAAGCAAGCAAGAAAGTGTGCCACAATCTTCAATTCAATATCTTATTCCCTTATTGGCCAACAAAAAAAAAATCTTGTTCCTTAGAAAACAAAAGTAGCTAGCTATATGAAGAAACCTTCAAAAGTGATGGCCATGTTATATTTTGGATGATCCGAGACTCCACTAAACCTTGAAGGCTTTTGATTTTTTGCACCATCTTTTTTGAGAAGATGGTGTGTTTTTCTTGGACTTGAACCAAATAAACTACAGAGTACATAATATCCAAAATGGCATTTGCTTCTTCTTATTCTTCTTAAATTCAATATGCTGCCTCCACTCTTGATATAAGGTAAATTTTAAATTTTTTTCCCGTAATATAAGAAAAAAAGGAGTAATTAATTATTTTTTAATTTTACCTTTATTTATTATGATTTGAATTCTTAGACAACAATTTTAGGAATATAACTGTCATTTCTAAATAATAATAGCACAAAGTTGGGTTAATTTGAATTATATTAATTAAGGATTAGAAGAAGTATACATCTATACATAAATGTGTGTGTAGGGGGTGTGTGTGTTGGGGGCTTATGTGATGTCAAGGATTTATAACCTCAAAAGAAGTTGTGTCCTAGTGGTTAAAAGAATACTTACAAAATGATGTGATGCAACACACATGAAAATGGGTCATGATGTGTGTGTGTTTGTATTTATCTTGCAAGCAAAAATCCACACTTTAGGGCATTAATTAAAATAGCCGCGTGTGTGTGGGGGGCATGTTTTGGCATACTTTTGACTTGTGTCTGCAGGCAACATACGGTGGAGGCGGCGAGCCAATTATATATATATATATATATATATAGAGAGAGAGAGAGAGAGAGATCTTCTAAAAAAGAATTAGTTTTCAATTAATCCAGAAGTTCAATTAAATCTGGAGCCAACATATATTGCAATTTTGATTGGATAACGTATATTTAGAGCGCAAAATGATAGACCTTTTTTTTTTGGGTTTTTTGCTCTCAACATTTGCACAAAACAATCATAAAACAGAATTACCCAAACTTTATCTCTCCCTGTTTTTTTTTTTTTTGGGGTGAGGCATAAGACTCTGATCTATTGACATTTAATTTTAAGCAAATATCCCTCGGAGTACTGAAAATTAGCTGAATTTTTATTGGCATTCTCTATATTTAAATTTAATACAAGCGCAAGCGCGCGCGCCCAAAAAATTATCTTAGAAAAGAAGGAATAAATTTACAATTTCAAAAGAGATCCATATAATTTATATAATTTGTTCTCTTTCAGGAAAAGATTATATCTATTTTAGAAATATCGAAAAATTTGTGTAATTTGTTAAATTAAAAAAGTCTTAACCATTTGATGTACCTCAAGATTTAGAATTTTAAATCACTGTGCTTGGCTGATAAGAGAAATTAGGGAGCAAAGAAAATGGAAATAAGAGAAAAATATAGGAATGTGATTTTCTCACCTTATACTTTGACTAAACAAGAGAAAATGGGATGAGGGAAAAAAGGTTAATTTCATGTTAACAATATTTTATCATATTTTTATATAATGTCCGTTACGAATTCTAATTGAATAAAATATAATTGAAAATTTTTTATCCAATTTTAAATTTATTTTTAAAATTATTAAATATAAAATGGTCTAAAAATTTTAAAATGCAGTCAAACATATAAAGTAGTGCTCTTTCTGAAAGATATAAAATGCTGCAGTGTGAAGCTGAAATTGATAAGAAAAATTTGCATTTGAGAACCTAGAAACACATGTTGATTATTAATCTCACTAAAATGAAGGGAAAGTCAGGCAAAAATGGAAGGAGATAGGTCACGAAAATGAAAAAAACGATGGGCATGCCCATCCGTTTCTATCTGTAAAAAAAAAAATTACATCACACAGTTAAAAAAATCAGTTAATTATATTAATTGAGTCTAAAAATAAAAGAATTAAACTTTAATATCTTTATGCTAATCAAGTCTTCATTAATTATTTTTTATGACTATGAATAATAAAATTATAAGGAATAATTTAAGAAGTTTACAATAAATATTTATTAAAAAATAAGTAAAAATTAATAATTTTTTTATAAATAAAAACGGAAGGAGCATTTGGAAGGAGATTTCTCTCCTTAAAATCATACTTTTTGTAGGGAAAACTTGGATGAAAAACATGGGTCCCACATATTATTTTTCCTCCAACTCTCTCTTCTTTCCAACTTTAATTTCTTTCCTTATCCAAGCGTGAGTAAAAGAATATAGTTTTTCCCTTATTTTTTTCCCCCATACTTTTATCTTCCATCACTTTAATTTCTCTTCTTTAGCAAGCAAAATATAAAAGTCATTTAACTGATTAAAATTCATATATAATTATAAAAAACAATAATAAAATGAAATAATACTAGTATAATGTTGGAATAAATTAGAAAATTTTGCATAATTTAATATAAAAAAAATATGATGAGGATGAAGGGGAAAGCCATGTTGGAGAAAGTAACAGAGTCACAGGGGAAGAAGTTAGTAGAGACCAAATGGCACGTGTCAAGCGGTCATGCTGGTCATTGGGGCAACGGTGAGCCGTTTGCAGTGCACTTTCTCACATACGCAAACGATGACGTCACGCGCTAAGCCACGCCATTTCTCCATAAATACCCTCTTCACCTTCCTTCTCACCTCACCTGCAGACACCCCATTAACTCTCTCTCTCTCACTCTCTATATTGTTCTCAACCCTATCTAAGTCTTCCCCCAAGAAGCCGGTGGCGCTGCCTGTTGTGGTGGTTGTGATGACGGCGTCGATGAAGATAGCAGATGTCTGTAATGCGGTGCATGGGTTGAAGCCGGCCATGTTAATGGTGGTAGTTCAGATAGCGTTCGCCGGAGTCAATGTACTGTACAAGCTCGCCGTCAACGACGGCATGAACCTTCGAGTCGTCGTTGCCTATCGCTTTATCTTCGCCACCGTTTTCATTGCTCCTCTCGCTCTCATTCTCGAAAGGTCAGTTTCGCGTTATCATCTGACAATAGTTTTAATTTATATTTTGGTGTATATGTATGCTCCTAATCCAATGTTTATGTCAGTGTTTAGTCTTGGAATCTGTGTGCTTTATATATATACACTCCCTCCCTTACTACATATAAGATAGTTTTAACCAAATCCTGCATACAAATAAAGGTTTGTTATTTAATTAAACTAACAAATAATTTTTTAATTTTACTCCTAACAATATATCATGATAGTGGTAAAAAAAATGCAATTAATGATTTATTTTATTTTTAAGATAAGGGCAAAATTGTCTAATTACTCAATAATATCATTGCCACCCTTTATATTTAGGAACAAAATAAATTTCTAAAAAATACCTTATATATAAAAACAAAGAGAGTATATATATAAATTCACACTTGATTTTTAACATCATGATCAATTATCTTCTCATATGTTCATCTAGGTTTTATGCACAGAGATGAATATTTAAACCATGCATGCAATATGGAGTTATAAATTTATTAAAAGTCAAATGGGACTGTTTGCATTTCAAAACTTTTGAGGTGGTAATGGAAAGATATTTGACAATGTTGTGAGGAGGGAATATATCTGCAAGTCATTTCATCACTGTTTGAGAATATTCACAAAGCAATAGCAATAATAGTTGATAAAAGCTAGAGAAAAAAATTTAAGAAAATTAAGGACATGTTTGACCACCTATTCTAAAAATAATTTTTTGTTTTCCAAAACAAAAAAAAAAAATCTATTTAGTAATATGTTTTCGAAAAAAATTTTGGAAAACAAAAGAACAATATGATGTTTTGGCAAATAGAAAAATGAAAAAAAGTGTTCTAATAAGAGAAAAATAAAAAAATACTTATTTTTATTTTTTGTTTTGTTTTCAGAACATGTTTTATAAAACATCAATTTTTATAATAATAAAATAAAAACAATTTCAAACAGATTTTAAAAGGCTCGTTGGTGATAGTGCACATATATGCTCAAGAAAGAAATAAAGGAATAATAATTTGTGCTTCTTTTTCATTAACTGACTAAAGGTAAGCTATTTGCAGGAAGAAGAGACCAAAGATGACCTGGAAGATACTGTTTCAAGCATTTCTTTGTGGTTTGTTTGGGTAAGTATCAACTCATGTTTAACTAATAATTAATAGTTATAACCATATACTTTGTGTGTGCGCTTTTCTGTTCATCATAATGATTTCTTTTCAATGACAACAAGTAAAAGGTTCAATATTTAAAGAGGAAAATTGGTCGAATTTACATATATTGGGATTCTTTTTAGATAGGTAAAATGGTCCTATATATCCATATGTATTTAAAATATACAATGGGCTAATTTTTTATAATATAGCAAACCAATTTTTGAACATCCGCAGAGAGATGTGCCCATTTTTAATATTCAACCATGCCTCAATTGGAATTCTTTCCCTCAAAAGGAGTACGGCCATGTGGCATTGGATTCAGCCTTAATTAAGATAAACTTATTTATGTCATCACTTCCAAGCTTCAGCGTGCATTTCATCAAAATCAAAAAAAATTTAAACCTCATTAAATCTGTTTAAAAATTCAACAAGTTTACAACTTTACCCTTATTAAATTTATACATACTTTAAAAATAAAATTTTGTAACATCTAATAACCTTTCTAGCATTTAATAGGGGCTCGAGAATAAAGATGAACATAATAATAATTAAAATACCTTATAAATATGATTAAAATAAATACGTTCAGCCTTCTAATAGAGAAACCTAACCTCTTAGTCAAAACTATTATCAAAACTCTTATTAGAATGAGTCATGATGGAAAACCTCCTCTATATACGACTTAAACTAAAAATCTTAAAGAAATTAAAAAAGCTCCCTTAGAAGACACCTTTAATTAATTGATTAGTGAGCTGTCGTTATTTCCTCCTTTTTATAAATTTGTAGCAGACACTTGAGAGAATTGAGAGTCATAGGTTAGTCCAATAATTAATACTGATGTTTCTTTGTTGGGAAATGGCAATTTTAGTGGGAATTAAATGCAAAGCTAATAAGTATCTGCAAGGCATGCAGTGCAAATAGAATCGTATGGAAGCGTGACTCTTTCTCCACCTTCCGTTTGTAACTTTACGTGAAATCTGAAGTCTTTTGTAGACCTCAAGTTCTTCATTTCATATTGCTTCTCTGTCACCCACCAGTTAAAGAACTTATAGTTTTTATTTAAAAAAAAAAAGTGTGTGTGTATTATTTTAGCAATACCTTTTTCCCATTCAAGTGACAAGTGCAAGTGGCTGTGTATTTAGGATACTTATTTCTATAAATACTACTTTTAAGGCCGTGTTTTACTGTTTCCATATATTAGTGATGTAGTAGATATTTTAGTTTACTATTTTTCCCACTCAAGTCCAATCGGTTGTGTATTTAGGAGACTTATTTCTGAAAGAACTTGTCAGGCCCTGTTTTACTGCTTTTATGTTTAAGTGACAAGTAACACAAGCATTACAATCACCGTCAACGAATTATGCACTATTACTAGCTAATTAAAATTACAGCAATTTTCCTTGAATTTTATTGACATTATGGAGTCCTATAATATTTTTATAACTTAGACCTCCTTTTAAAATAATATAATTACCTGGACTTTCCCTGATTTTTCATATAAGTTACATAAATCAACTTTCTATTTTCAAATTACACAATCCCATAATTTCTTTCAAATCACACAAATATTGTTCTATATTTTAGGGAAGGTTATTGTCTGTGTAAATAAAGTTGATGCAATTTAAATCTATAATCGAGCTATGTATAATTTTAATAAACTATCGAAAAAGTGTGTATCAATAGTTTCTGTTTGCAGTTCAAAAGTTATATCTCAGGAAAACTTTGTATGCTTTTATGAAAATTCTACAAATTTAATTTTTATTCATTAATTAATATTTTAAAAATAGTTATCTAATTTCTTACTATATGTTAAGATGGGAATCTTCAAGCTCAAACTCTAATAGCAAATACAATGATGAAATTTTATTAGTTTGAATATCTATGTAACAGGTTGGCCAAAGAAAAAATATCTATGTAACAGGAATTTGACCATGACTAGTTTAGAACGGCTTTATTTTTTTAAGTATGATTAACATATTAATCTATTAAAAAATTTTAATCTTTTATTATCAATTACTACGTCCAGTCTTATTTATTATCAATTATTTAGTCCTAATTACAAGGTATATCATAAATTTTTCCTCTTCCATTAAATGTTGGTGAGATAAGAGAGACTATGTAATTAAAGTATGCATATTTAATAATAATAAAATTAAAATTAATTAAATTTTTAGATAAAATTAATAAGTTTTAATTTTTTTTATTCTGTTAAAATAAGTTAGAAGAGACTTATAAATAGAATTAGAAAAAATATTTTCCTGTTTTCCTTTTAGGTTCTTTTTTTGTTGTTGACATAGTTGTTTTGATATTATTTTAGTAACAAATAAATTAAATAAAGTAACTAATATTGTGATGCATATATACATTATTATAAATGTAGAGGATCAGTGGCACAAAACTTATACTTGGAAGCATTGGCTTTAACATCAGCAACATTTGTTTCAGCGATGGCCAATCTTATTCCAGCCATCACCTTTATAATGGCTGTCTCCTTCCGGTGAGTTTCCTTATACCTATAAGTTTCTTTCTTTCATTTTTCTTTAATCACTTTCTTTTCTTTCTTATATTCTTAGTTTCAATTATCCTTTTTCTCTTATGTTCTTTTCTCATAAACAATATAATCAACTTGTTAGGTTTAGTGATGCATGATTTGTCTTGTTAACATTGAACACATTTCCAAGTTCATCTCCTCGACAAAAGTTTCTTCTTTTATGCTTCTTTGCTTAAACCTTTTCTTTTCTAATCCAACGAACTTTTCTTCAACTTTTTTCAAGGAGAACATGTAACTTTTGATCCAAAACTTTTCCTCTATTATCAATTCAATTCTAAACTTTGTCATTTCTTAAATCAATAAACTACAAGAAGTTAGGAATTGAGTTGGACTTAATTATAGTTTAAGGACTAATCGAAAATTGAAAACAAAAATTAAAGAGTAAAAGTTATATTATTCCTTTACATATATAAATATAAACTTTGATGGAAAATTATATTTCTATACAATAATATCACTACAAATTAACATCCAAAATTTGCAAATCATGAAAGATATGACTTATTTCTTGAAGTCTAATCATGAACAGCTTGGAGAGTTTAAATTTAAGAACAGCATCAGGAAAAGCCAAGATCATTGGAACAATAACAGGAATAAGTGGGGCTATGATTCTGACATTTTTCAAAGGCTTAGAAATACACACAGGCTCCTTCCATATCACCCTCATGCATCATCGTAATGGACACATGGCATCACCACAGTCTTCCTTTGGCGGCAACACCCTCTTAGGTGCTCTCTGTGCTATGGGAAGCAACTTTAGTTACTCTTTGTGGCTCATCATCCAGGTCCTTCTCTAAATTGATGGTTGCTATAAATAATAACATTGATCTACTATCTATATAAGATTGTTTTACTTCTTTTACTTGTTGTTTGTCATTTCACACACTACATTTTTTTCTTGGGGTTATTTCAATATAGACAAAGATGAGCAAGAATTACCCATGTCATTACTCAAGCACAGCTTTGATGAGTGTGACGGGGGCAATCATATCTATTGCTTTTGCTCTCTGTCTTGAGAGGGATATGATTCAATGGAAGCTGGGTTTGAATGTTAGGCTTCTTACTGCAGCCTATTCGGTATGTTGTTATATATTGTTCATGTTAATATGAGAATTTTTTTGGGAATTAATCAATTTTTGTTAATCATGTGAACTTTAATAATTAATAATTATTAATTATGAAAATAGGGAATAATTGTGTCTGGAGTAATGGTGGTGGTGATGGCATGGTGTATGCATATGAGAGGCCCTCTTTATGTTTCTGCTTTCAACCCCCTTTTGCTTGTCTTTGTGGCCATTGCTGGTTGTTTCATGTTGGATGAGAAGCTACATCTTGGAAGGTAAATATATTTGCCCTTCACAGTATGCATGCAACTACACACAAATACATAAATTTTGTGAATTTGCGTCAAGATATAACTATCAAGGATAAAAAATTTGATATACAGTACTCTCTCTGTTTCATTATATTTGTCGTTTTAGGGGGAAATTTTTAAAATTATCAATGTTATGTTAGACGTCCAAAGCAACATTTAATGATATTTTACATGTTTTACCCTTAGAGCAATATTCTATCTCTCCTTGCATGCTTTTAGAAGTATTAAAGTCTGGGATAAACAAGGGGCAAATTTAGTAAAATATGTCATATTTTTACATATTTATTGAATCGCTTAAATGAAAAATATAATGAAACATAGCGAGTATAAAATTTGCATAAGTTTTATGGGACCGAAAATGTATATTATCTATGGCTCCCCCCCCCCCGGGCCATTGAGCACAACTTTTTAGTATATGTACTTTCATTTTTAAATCAATTACACACACTCCCACACACAAAGTTTTTTTTTTTCTTTTTCTTTTTTCAAATTACAAGGGCAAACACTAAAGCCTGAACTTATAGGTAGGATCGATCCTGCAATCTCTCACATATAAGAAAGCGCCTTATGCATGCATGGTTGTGTACCCATGTGCATACATATGTACTCATGTTTGACCATAAGCAGACATCATGCACATTATATTTTTATGTCATATGCAAGTTACTTTATGATTTATGACTTGGCACCACAAATTTGCAGCGTAATTGGAGGGATGTTGATAATATGTGGATTATATGTGGTTCTATGGGGAAAACGCAAAGAAATGAAGAAGATGAATCAACTTGTTCCATCCCAGAGCCTCCATGAAATTATAGTGAGATCTCCCACAGAAGATAAACATATCCCTCACAACAACAATAATAATGATATTGAACTTGTTAGAGATAGTGACCATTCATCAGAAAATGCAAATGAAAATGCAAATGAAGAAATGAAGGATAATCAGAACAAAAGGCAGAGATCAGAGGATGAAGAAAAAAAGGAAGAAGCAATATCAAGAAATAGCTAAAATTTTTATAAATATTCAGTTCTTCTATATATATGTATATATATTAGAAGATTTATTTGGCTAGTGCCATCCATTTCTAGAAGCTCCAACACTTGTTATCAGCAGTTTTCGTGGTTTAGAGGAAAAGCAGGGCGATGGTGCCATAGATAGATGCTTTTTGCTTCTTCTTCTTCTTCTTCTTGTTTTTTTTTTTTTCGCTTAGTTTATTTTGTTTTATATATTTTATTTGTTTAAAAGCTCAATCAGTAGAGCATATTTTCCAATTGTGACATGAAAGATATGGTCATGTTATATATGTTTAGTTAGTTTTCTTGGATCAATTATATACTTATTGTCTGATGATGGTATCTGGATTCCACACATGTACACTTTTTGTGCAAGTGGTATAGAATTGATTTAGATAGTCTTCTTGTTATTTTTTTTTTCTTCACCATTATTTGATTTAAGTAGTCCAAATCTTATTTATATATTTTCAATTTAAATTATTTTTTAAGGTGATAGTCAAAATATTGTTGTAATTTCTTATAAAATTTAAAGGAAATTAAAATTTAATAAAAATAATAAAGTTTAGACTCTTCAAAATTAGTTTAGCTTTTGGATTTTTTTTTAAATTTTGTAGGAAATATATGAATTATTATTTATGAGAATTAAAGAGAATACTATTTAACTTGTCTATCTTTAATTTCAAGAAGAAAAATAAAATACTATTTATTTGGAAAAGTTGAGGAATAAAAGTGAAGTGGCCAAAAAAAAAAAAGGGAAGTGAAGTGTCCAAGTACCGATTAGAGTGACAAAGGTGAGGCCTCTTTTTTATAATATAAAATGCTTCCTTTTTAAAAGTAGTTTTGTCTATTTAATCCAGGGAAAACATTTCCAAATAAAAAGCAAAAAGAAATGAAAAGGACATTATGGAAGAATTTTTCTTCGAAATATGATAAATTTAACTTGTAATATAGTTGGGTTGTAGTTGTACCATATGTTTAAAATAAAAGAGATGATACGTTTGATTTTTTCTGTCTTCTTAGTTGTTAGGCCTCTTTGAAAAGGGGAATATATTTTGGAATTTTGGCAGATAAGTGGACCTTAGCTAAAATGACTTCCTTTTCTCAAATTTCACTTTTTAACTTTTTTTCCATTCCTAATATATAGAATATGTATGTTTGTATATTAATTAAATATTGTTCGCTGTTTTTGTTCATGGTTAATTTCCATACAAATTTTGATGTGGCAACATCTCAAACAAATCGACGTTCTGAAGATTTTATAGGGTGAATGAGCGAATGATTAATTTTTTTTAATTTTTTTATTGTTTTAAGAAAATAAAAATAACATTTAAACTGTAAATTTTAAGTAATATATTTAAACTAAAAAATAGGAGAATAAATAAATCACTTAATTACAATTACATTATCTATAAAATCTTTATGGTTTAGCGATTCTGTCAGCCTATACTTACCGGATTGAATTCGTTTGAATAACCAACATTAGTTGAATAGACATGAATTAACTCTTGGTATACAACTATAATTAAATTGTTCATTTTCAACACAAAAACATGCGCCATTAATAGTTGTTTTTTTTGTCTAATTTTGTGTATATATAAACCCAGTATATAATACAATGCATTATTTTCACACAAAAAAAATACAATGCATTAATTTCTGTTTAAACTTACACCGAAAGGGAGGGGAAAGACTACAAAATAATTGAAAATTGTAACTAAGTTAAAAAATTGAAAAATATTAAAAATTAAACTTCGATTGCAAGATAATAATAACTTTTTACAAAGAAATATTATAATAGTGATAATAACAGGAACAGCCTAACAACACTATCATCATTTGAAATGCCAAAAACCATATTGGCTTAGAAGGATACATTAGAATATATTAAAAAGTCCCACGTTGAGAACTTGGGCCTCCCTTCTACCCAAAAAAAAAAAAAAGTCACACATTAATTTATTAAAAATGAATTGAAGGTATATAAGATTCAAGCAAGTCCTATAAGATTAAGTTTTTTTTTATAGAGTGACAAACCTAATATAAACCTAATCCTCAAAAATTTAATGTGATATAAGAGTCATTATTTGAGATGGAAAAAAACAAAAAAAAATGAAAGGGTAAGAAATAAAAAAACTAAAAATATATATATAGAGAAGATCATGGACATGAGGCTCTTAAGATTTGAGGCTCAAAAGAAGTACAAGCCCACCCAAAGAGTAAAAAAAAAAAAAAATGAACGAATGAATGATAAAAGAAAAAAATAGTAGGAGGAATATTAGAATATATTAAAAAAATTTTTCATTGATTAATTGAAGAATGTATTGAAAGTATATAAGATTAAAACAAGTGGCCTGTCAAATTAGCTTAAATTATTTTATTCATAATTGGACCATTGCGTCCAAGGTTTAAATGCTGGTGCCATGAATCGTTACGGAAAGGATCCCTTATATGTATAGAAGTGTTTTCAAAATTATAATACGTTATAATTTTTTTCTTTGAAAACAATTTTTTAATAAAATAATACATTATAAGAATTAATCTAAGTTTTTTTTATATATATTTTGTTCCCTTCTAGACAGCTTCCAACTCTAATACAACATATAGTGGTCCTTTGGGTACCTCATAAAAAAAATTCTTCTTTGAATCAAAATCACTTGTCACGTGTCGATTAGTTAATTAATTAATTATATTTGGTTAACGTTTTTCTTGCTGTTACTGTTAGTATCTCAATTGGAAGATAATGTTCTTCTTCTAGTTTTATCAATTTTTTTTTTCAAAACTTTAGTGTTAGTATCTCTAAAGTTGGCAGAATATATTTCTTATGTCGCCAAAATAATTCAGGCCACGAATACACATAAAAAAATTAAATTAAAAAAATTACATTATTAATCAAACTGATGAATGTATATCTAGCATTAACAACAATCTATTTAAGTTGAGACTACTGTGCTGTCTTTTTTATTTTATATATATATATATATATATAATAGAAAAAGGTTTATTTTTAAACTAATGAGCTTTTCATGAGATTTTAATTTGGTATAATATTTAGAATATATATGTATTGATTGATTTAAAATGAAAAAGATGTTTTATCATCCAAATATAAAAATTTTTATATTTTATATTGAGTTTTGGGACGTGTAAAATGACAATAAAATATTTACAAATTAACATACGAATAAAAAATACAAACTCCGCTCCGCTGTCACAATACTCATAAATCATAACAATACCGGATGCTGTATAATTGGGAAAAAAATATAAATTAGATAAAACTACAAAATTGTGATTTAAGTACGAAACTAAATAAAAAAATAGAATGAGATTTTTTTTTTTTTTCTTGGTGCCAGAAGAAACTATTATCATTAAACAAAACCGAATCCAGGAATACAAGTAAAAGTCTTAACCAACACCAGAAGCAGCATCGTGAACTAAAATCTTGGCCAAAGGGGGTGGGGGATTAGAAACCCAAGAGGGACACACTCCCTTATCAGAATTACTAACAAGTCAATGGGCTGCTAGGTTAACGATACGGGGAACCCATGAGAAACTAACAGACTAGAAAGATGAGCTAAGTTGTCCGATATCATCCAGGATACTCCAATAATGCCAGTCGGGAGCTGCTTCATCAATATTAAGAGCTTGAATAAGAGCACGACAGTCAGATTCAAAAGTGACTGAAGGTAAGTTGAGATCTTCTGCCATCTGTACCCCTTTGCGAAGTCCCAAAGCCTCGTATTGAAAACCAGAATCTGCCTTACATGAGCTGCTACACCACTCCAGTGAGTCTCCTGCGGCATCTCTGAAGATGACTCCCAAGCCAGCTTTCCTTTCACACTGAATGCACCATCATTATTACAGTTAATATAAGGGGAAGTAGGAGCACACCAATTTGGAGGAGAGTTTAGAGGTATCTCCTCAAAATCAACATCAACTTCCTTAAAACGAGTCCATTTACGCACTACCCAAAACTCTATTAAGGGGGATTCAGATTGTCTAGCAACAAACATAGGATCAATAGAAGATCTTCTATATAAACAAGCACACCTAGCTTTCTAAATCTGCCAGCAAGTCATAGCAACTATTTCCTTACCAAAACCATCAAGATCAGATTCAACAAAACACCAATATAGCCAGTGGTCTACACGCTCAAAACTCAAGAGATCAGGATTCAAAGTCAGCATAGAGCTAAATCAAGTACATTTGACCCAATCACAAGCAAGGAAGAGGTGTTCCATAGATTTAGAGAAAGAGTGACAGCAAGGGCAAAGGGCCAAATTAACAATATAAAATCGAAAAGGTTTAGTCAAAACAGGTAGAGAATTCTTTAAAATCTTCCAAATGAAATATTTGACTTTTTCAGGAATTTTAAGGTGCCAAATGATCTTCCAAAATTGTTCTGACAAATTGAAAGAACTCCTAGGAACATTAGACCCCTCAACCACAACTTAATGTCATGATTCATCATTTTTCATGAGGTTAAGGAGCTCCAGAACGTTTTAGAACCCTCCAGAAGGCTCTCGAGCAACCTTAAAAGTGCTAGAGAGTGTAAGAATATTCTAGAGAAGTCTACACAACTCTAGCCTCAATATTTTAATATATGCTACTAGATCTTTCTATGTAAATATCTAAATATTTGTTGTAAATATCTAGGAGAGGATTCTAGAGAATCATTTGTAACCGTAGGATCAATTCGATCTCCACCTCCCATTAAGGAGGTGAGAAATATCTAGACCTAAGGAGGAGGCCTATAAATACCTTACCCTTCCTCATTTGTAACACAACCCTTAAGTTCTCAAAGTAATACTACTCTCATATTCTCCAAGCTCTCTTCTAAGTATCCTTTGCCCTCAAGCTTTCCATTTCCTCAAACTTAGCCAAGCATCCTCCTTTCATACAAGTTAAGCTTACTTAGCAACTTCCAATGAAGATTGTCTAAGTGCCACACGGGTCGAAAGACTAGTCCCGTGATAGTTGGTATCAGAGCACGGTTCTAACCTTTGTGCTTAAAGGAAGGTATTGTACAATGACAACCGAGGAAGGAAACGTTATTGGCGTGGAAGCACAAGAGCAAGCTCGTGTACATGAGGAGCAAGCTCATACCAAGTCTAAGAAAGAGTGAGGCCAGAGCAGGGCACCCACAAGTGAGTCCTTTGAACCTCATGTTACTAGCTTGGAATCTAACATGGAGGAAGTGAGAACTACCATTAGGGGACTCGACGATCAACTCAACAATCTCATGCAAGAGAATGCTGAAGTGATGCGCGTTGCCAAGTCGATGATTGCAGAACTTGGCAATAATTTGGGGGAGGACATTCGTTCCCTCACACATGATCTCACTGATCTCTGCAAATACATTAGAGATGAGGTACGAGGTTTACACCTTCAAATT